CCTGGCAGGCGGCTGGCAGAAAATCTCTGAAAGAAAGATGGATTAGTTACGACCTGCGTTTCAACTCATAGGACAGAAAGGGAGGAAAGGATGACAACATCCTATCAGCCGAACGCGCAGTTAGGTTAAGTGTACCGGAAAGAGACAACAGTACACCCAACCACGTCGTACCTGAAAGAGAAACGAGATTAACTACGACCTGCGTCTCCACTCATAGAACAGAAAGGAAATGGGACACGACATTCTATCAGCAGAGCGCGCAGTTAGGTCGAATGCATCGGACAGTGACAACAATGCACCCTTCCTTGTCGTATGTCGGCGGTTCGGTACGACCTGCGTTTCAACTCATAGGACAGAAAAAGGGGGAGACAACATCCTATAAGCCGAACTCGCAGTTTAGGTCCAGTGCACCGGACAGAGACAACAGTGCACCTTTCCTTGTCGTGGTACGGCGGATACTGAAAAGAGAAGCTATGATTAATACAAACGGACAGCGGCCAAGTCTTTACCTATGTTCCCTAACTTTGACTCACTTCTTTCCTGGGCACGTCTGGTCGGTCGGAACGCTGGAACAGGACTAACTCTGCAGTACAATTACCTCGTCAGGTCTCTTGTCACCTCAAGAGACTTGCGCATTGAATATGCGCGGAACCTAACTTACTGCAGCGGTCTTCGGACTGGACTGGTGTTGACGGCGGCTGGAGATGAACTGACTTCTCCAATTTCGTTTATTTCCTAAGTCCCTCGTCTTGGATTGGCGGCTGCGCAGTTCGTCTAAACTGGACTTGTAGAATTCTCACCTACTTCCAGCGGTGACGTATCTTCGGGAAGGGCGGCTGGTGGCTCGACTGGATGCGACGACGGCTCCTGGTAGACTAAACCTTTGAATACAGCCTATCTGCTATATTCGTACGGCGAATCCTAGCGGCTGCGCAGTTTCTTCAGGCTGGACTTAGTGAAATCTTACCAATTCCTTACCGGTGACGTAGGTCTTACTGGAACGGCTGACGGCTCGACTGGTCTCTACGATGCCTCGTGGTGAACTAAAACGCTGACGGCGGCTTAATTCCTAGGTCCTGGTGACGTTTCGGTAGCGGCTGCGTAGTTCTCCTAAGCGGGACTTGTAAAATTCTTACTCAGGCGGTGACGTATTGCTGGCTAGACGGCAGGCTGGAGCTCGGCACGACTGATTCCTTCGCTGGCAGGTAGAGGACTGGCGTACGATTATCATCGCGGTGTGAATTTGCCAGCTATTGGCGAGACGCTTCGCGGTGTCGGACGGTGTTTGAAATGCCAAAAAGAATGACGGTGCGGTACATCATATTTATTCATAAAATAAAATAAAATGAACACAAATGTGGAGTGTTGGAAAATCACTTTGTTACAACTTGAATAATACCTAGGATCTTCATACTTTTCCCAATTAAACTTCTTAGTGCATAGAATCATCACGCCAAATTTCATCCAATTCGGTTCGATTGTTTTTACATAATAATTGTTTAATTTTTTTTTTTTTTTTTTAATTAAAAAATTTTCAAAATCAAATTTATAAAAATCTAAAGCCTTTGAATACTTGAAAATTTCACCACAAAAAGTAGAACTCTCAAGCTTTAAAATGCTTTTTGAAAAATTCAAATCGGACGATTAGGAGAGCCCTGGTGATTGTTTAAACATTTTCGCAAATTTCACGCTTATAAACAATTGCAATAATTTAATGTTCTTTTCAAATTTTTGGTAATACTAGTAAGTTTGTTTAAATATTATAAAATTGTTTAAACAATAATTATTTAAATAAACAACTGAAAATTGGTATTAATTTTTAGTTGTACGATAAATTTCTAAAAGTCTTTCAAAAATTATTACTCACATAAATTGTGAATAATTATAATTTTAATTTTTTCGTTTACTTTTAAAATATTTATCTAAAATTTATTTTTTATTTATAAAAAAAGTATAAGAATCTTTTGGATACTTAATTAATACCAACAACATGGTGCAACATGCAAAAATTTTGGTCGTGAAAATTAACATAGTAAATAAATAAACATAATAAATTAATCATTTTTTAAAGTAACTGTTTATCGGCATGTCAAAAGTCCAATAATTAATAATAAAATGTAGTTGAAAATATGATAATTGAATTTTTTAGTTGCGAGACATCGATTTAAAAAAAAATCATCGAAATTGGTCCATTAGACGCTGAGATAAGTGAAATTTTTCCGAGTGTCGCAATTTTGAACTCGAGAATTCAGATCGGAGTAGCTGTGTGTTTGCTCCCCCCACCACTGATACCTCATTGATTTCACGCGGTCTTGAATATCTTTGAGTGACATTTTAAATGGGACGCCCGTGATTGCAAATTTTGAAAATTTATATCTGGAAAGTACTCGGAATAACAAACCTATTGGTTCAAAAAACAGCCCTTATAGTTTTGCTGTAAATAAGGGTTAACTTTAACGGGCTATAACTCCGAAAATAATGGGCGGATCATCAGGTTTTTTTTTAAATACTCGCCTTTCCGAGTACTTTCAAACCATATTTTAAAATAAAAAAAAATTTGAAAAAACATTAAATTATTGCAATTGTTTATAAGCGTGAAAATTGCGAAAATGTTTAAACAATCACCACGGCTCACCTAATCGTCCGATTTGAATTTTTCAAAAAGCATTTTAAAGCTTGAGAGCTCTTCTTTTTGTGGTGAAATTTTCAAGTATTCAAAGGCTTTAGATTTTTAGAAATTTGATTTTGAAAATTTTTTAATTTAAAAAAAATAAAAAAAATTAAACAATTATTATGTAAAAACTATCGAACCGAATTGGATGAAATTTGGTGTGATGATTCTATGCACTAAGAAGTTTAATTGGGAAAAGTATGAAGATCCTAGGTATTATTCAAGTGTCTGAAAAAAATTGACAAATAAACTAGCATTTTTTGCAATTTTTTAAATGATTTTTCCGATTTTTGTAACAACAATAATTATTTTTTCGAATTGCAACTAACTCTATCTTGATCAAAATTTAATTACAAAACTTTTTTTCCTCCTATTATCATTTCTGATGTTATTTAGAAGCCGTTAAAGCAAAAATCTCCGATCATATGCGTTTTACCCAACCCGAAACAAGTACCGCCTGGACTATAAGTGTAGCTATAAATTATAATAATAATAATAAATGTAAATATAAGTGTGAAAATTTGTTACATAGATTGCCTTGTATACATGAAAACTAAAAAAATTGGCTATTGAAAATAAAAACCAAGTGTTCCAACCATTCCCCACAAAAAAAAATTACTTATGAACTCACTGTATATTTTTAGGTCGAAAGCGTGTGTGTAAAAGTTTTGAATTCACAATGCGTTGGGGTTATAACGCCAGATAACTGGATTTTGCCATATTCCTGTGCTCCTCCTGTCGCCTATGTTAGTCGTGGAGGGGCAGCAGTGGTAACCTCTGGATACATTTCTAATAGCATACCTCCAAAACTACCTATTAGGCTGAGAAGAAGTTAACAATGAAAAAATATATATTTACTTATTTTGTCATAATAATTTGATAATAAAACTGATAGTATTATATTTCATCGGCGTTGGTACAACATCTAAACCAGAAAACAATAAAATTTCCTTATTTGACTACAGCAATCTATGACCCGTACTTAATGAAACACCCTCTATAGAAGATGTAGTACAATATCAATTACTACATCCTAACTAGAATTTAATCACGAGACTAATATACACTGTATCCCAGAATGATGGAAAAAATTTATATTTTTTCCATTTCAGATTTTAAAAAAAAATCTCTGAAACAGGTCAATTAGTAAATAAGAAATTGTCACTTTTCTGTAAAATTTTTTTTATCCATGTTTGACAGACCTTTAACATTACCGACATTTTTTTTAAATAGGATGCTGTATATTTTATAATATAAATCTAAAGACAAATTCAGCTATATACATACTTTTTTGTCATAGATGTCAAAGAAATGTAAAAAATTATCCTTATGTGGTACTGGCGACTATTTCAAACAATCATCGTCTCTTCTGTATTTTAAAAAACGTACTCTTTATTAATCGCTTTCTACTTACTTTAAAGCTTTTTTTCTAAAAAAAAACATCGATAAACACATAAAATTCACTAGAGTACCTTAGGTATAACGTGAATCGTTTTAGTTTAAATTCATTCATTGTTAAATTATTTTGAAAAATAGTTGCCCGATTAAACGAAAAACGGAGAATTGAAATTGTGACCTGTTTCACCACAAGTATCCAGACCAGAGAATTAGTCGAGTTACAATGAGTATCCAAAAAGTTTAAGAAACCGGAAGTACCTATATAAGATGTACCTGGATCAGGAAGGTGATAGACTGTAAGCGAAAATGACCATCAAAATGTGATGCTCGCCGTTACTGAAAATCCTCACTCATCCATTAGATCTATCTCAGCCAACTTCAACTTATCGAAGTCCTCAGTTCACAGAACTCTGAAGTCTCAAAAGTGGCATCCTTACAGAGTTAACGTCTTACAAGAACTATGGGCAGATGACACATACAGAAGATTGGAGTTTTGCGAGGAAATTAGAAATTTATTTGAAAGACAACCCAACTTAAATAGTCACATTATTTTCACAGGCAAAATACTAGATTTTGGAGCCCAGAAAATCCGTATTGCATGCAAAAAACATACGCAACGGCTGGAAAACGTGAATGTTTGGTCTGGAATAGTATTCTGGACAATCTGACAGGCGGTATTTATTTGAATTTTTTACATCTTCAGCTGATTTTCCCTGGAATTATTTTTTCCTAACCCTAATGAGCACGATATGCCCGCTTGTGGTGATATCTGGTTGCAACAAGATTGTGCCCCTTTTGCCTTGATGTAATAGTTGTAACTGTTTTACATTGACAATTTATTCATGAATAAATTGACGAAGTTCTTCATGAATTCATTCACGAATTTATTGGTAAACAGTATGGTTTTAGACTGCTACAGACTTTGTCAAGTTTTTGGACGTATGAATCACTTCTACCAATGAATCAAAGAAGCAAATAAATTTCAAAAATGTCACCTTGCCACAACAGCGGTACCATTCTGACACATATTATATAAATATTAGTTTTTGTAAATAACAAATCAGTAAAAACAATGCAAAACTAGCACGACACAACTCAATTATTTACATATTCCAATAACATAACCCCATTACTGATCTGAGGCTGGAAATCTGTTGGGTTGGTACTTCCGAACTTCACGAAGAAATTGACGAAAATTAGAACACGCTCTAATTCGTCAAGAACTTGATGAATAAATTGATGAAGTTATCTGATTTGGTGCATTACACTTGTCCAATTTCTTGATGAAGCGACTTCATCAATTAATTGATCAATAAATTGTCAATGTAAAACAGCTATAAGAAATTACCTTAATGAAGTTTTCCCAAATCGATGGATAGGCAGAAGGGGTCCGCTTGAATGGCCACCACGCTCCTCTGACTTAACTCCACTAGACTTTTTTTGTGGAGTTACTTAAACAGTAAAGTATATGTGAACAGACCAGACACTATCGAAGGATTGAAGAAGATTGAGAAGTTCGAAACATAACAGCAAATGTTATTCAAAATGTAATTGATGCTTTGAACACCGAATTGGGCATTGTGCAATGGTTAATGGAGGCCATTTTGAACATTTGCTGTAGTAAAATTAAAAGTAGTACTAAATTATTGTTTTCATTTTATTCTTCCATTTCTTTATTATGACAAAATAGTAGGTACCTATAAGCTGATATCGCTGAATTCATCTTTAGATGGGCTATCTATATAAACTATAAAATATAGAGCGTCCTACTAAAAAAAAATGTGGGTCTTTTATCATCAAGGGAGTGATTCTGCTTCCTCAAATTATTGTAGACCGCTTGAATTTAGAGAGATACACTGATTTTTTAGAAAATATTGTTGATGGCGTACTAGATGACGTTCCCTTAGCGTTGCGAAATCAAATGTACTACCAACAAGATGTAGTACCTATTCGTAACGAGAGACAGGTATCTGCGTGGCTCGATTTACATTTTCCAGAACGCTGGATGGTGAAAAATGGACCTAATATGTGGCTTCTCAGGTTCCCCCCTTGATTTTTTTACTGGGATCATATGAAGCAACTGGTGCATGCCAAACCCAGTAACAAGAGATACGATTTACTTAAAAAAATTAATGCAGCCGCCAAGCAAATTCAAGCAACCGTTGATTTGTGAAACTTGGTCATACGATGTCGGGCATGTATTGAAGTAAATGGACAGCATTTCGAGCATTTATTGAAATAATTAATTGTTTTCTATTTTTATTTTTAATATTGTCATTTTGCTAACATAATTTCGTTTCTGTTACATAATTTTCAATTTTATTTTTAGTTCCCCTATACGCAACCAAATATTAAATAATTCATGGAAAACTTGTGGTAAACAACTTTGTTATTTATGACATGTACCTACTAGATAACCAGAATTAAAATCTTTACATGCATTTTTCTACGAACTAGTGCAGTCAATACTTTAGATCTAATTTACTCGAAAATGGTTCATTTTCTATGAACCAAGAGCACATTTTTTGTTCAGAACCGATCGCAGATTCAGGAAAACGTAATCAAATTACATAGAACTAGGATATGCAAAAGTTATGAAGACATAACCTTGAGGACAAGTTGGCCTAGGCCGCCCTTGGCTTCTGATCGAAATAAGCACCATGTAGTTTTAATGACCTTTAATAGATGTACACTTCACCCAAAAATTACTTAAATCCCTGAAAGGGTTTTTGAGTTATTGAGGAAAATTATTTTTTTTTTCTAAACAGCATCCTGTGCCTCAGTGAGGGCGCATCGCAGAAAAATATTTTTACCTTATTTTGGTCTGGTCTACCCACTGGTAAATTTTTGTACACTGACACTTAGACACCCTGTATAATGTACCCACGTAACAAAAAATAAATACAAAATCTTACTAATCTAAGACAATTAAAATATTTTTTAAATAATTTCAAGCTTTCAACAAGAAGAATTTATTACCTTTTAAAGCACTGGGTTTAGTTCATGAATCTTAGTGTCATTGAGCTCTGATGTTAAACTAATTTAGGTGAACTATGTAATATAAATCTAATGGATGTGATATGACAACATAGATCTAGCCTGATAAGAAGCAAACGATCAGCCTTAAAATACTTCTGCTTCAATTTATTATATTTATTTTAGTTTTCATTTTTATTGGCTTACGACAACGTGTTTTTAATTTCGCAGTTTGAGAAACCAAACTTATAATGTATTTCTAAAAGTGTACGGTAGCCTCCTCCCAACAATAAGAAATCCTCAGAAATCCCAGATAACAAAATTTCAGTTAATTCGGTCCAATTTTGTGGAAGATAGGACCGAAACTAGTTTTTAAAAAATTATTTTCAACGCCCTGTACCTTGGAAAAGGAAAAATATACGCCCATGGTTCATAGGAACAACTTGTAATATTTTTTGAAATTCTATCAGGCTCTGAATTTATGCTAGTGTTTTTCAGAACACCCTGTATAATAATATAAATAAATAAAAATCAACATACACTTTTATATTATTATTTTTATTCAACTTATAACATTCGTTACATTATTAATCTGAAAATGTTGATAAAAAACCTTATCCAATAATCGATCTGTTGTCGTGATTTGGCAATTCCTTGGCTTGATCAGGAAAATCTGTAGCAAATATCTGATTTTTTTTTTTTTTGGGTTTTTTTGAAATGCGGTTTTTTCTTCAAAGAAAAAATTCACTGACGAAGAAATTGTCTCCTATATTTTATGATAAATATGTTTAATAGAAAGAACTATCTTCTTTGGACACTAAACACGGGAAAATCCATAAACAAACACATAATCGTGTATCTGTGATTTCTTATCAAGGGTCAATGTAAATTGCAAACAAAAATGTCACCAATTATAGGCCTGATATGCTTACATTCTAATTTTTGACAATAACATTTCGTCAGTGAATTTTATTCTTTTGCCGAATCTAAGTGTATCGTTATATTGCAAAAATGTTTAAAAATAGAACTGTCATAATATTCTCGTCTGTGGTGTTTATTGCATGTATTTTAATTATTTATTTATTGGTAATCCTAGGCACTTTTGGTAAGTTTGTGGCAATATTACTATCAGTTCAATAAAACATAAAATTAAGAAGTTAACTAATTCACATGAAATTACGACCAACTTCAAAAATTGCAAGTAAATCGTGTAATTGTATATCTACCTACAAGACATTTTAAAATGTACAAAAGCCTCCCCAAAATTGCTGAAACTACATGGGTATTATCAAACTACAAAAATGTTACCATTAACTGTTTTAAATTTAAATAAAAATATTTTTTTATAAAACTTTGTTGGCCTGTATATTTTACGTAAAAAGTGTTTATCAACCTAATGCAAATAATATTATTATCTCAAATACATCTTATTTCTTCAATTCCACTATCATAATCATAATTTACGCATAATTTTTTTGAACAAGATTTATTTATTAAAATATATAAATTTATTCCATATAAAAACATTATAAGATAAGGGCTTGGAAAATTATTTGTAATTATTACATTACATTTATTACTTTATGTACCTTAACCTGTGAACGTCGATTGAATCACAGCTACAATAAACTGCGACCATAAGATATCTGACGCTGTAGACTGCCACGTTTTATTTATGTAATTTCTCCAGTTGCATGAGGCTGAAGTTCTTTGCTTCTAAGTGCGAATTATTTATTATTTTATCCACAATCACCATATAATCGAATTTTTATGTGATACTTTATCCACTAATAAATGTAATAAAGTAATTTTATTTCACCAATAGAATAATGAAATAAATAAATATAAATAATAAACTTACAATAAACCAAATTTAATTTGTTTACTTATTAACATTATCATTTACATTTATAGTAATAGACATTTCGTTTTTTGTTTTATCACATTTAATTAACTTCCTTTCCGTTAATAACAACCCTTGTAGCATTGTTGCCATCATTTTCGGAACGCATAACATCTGCCGAAGTTTGTGAAGAATTTGCATAAGTTATGGATGTCTCTTCTTGCAAGGAACAGCTATATTTTCCTTGGATTTTCCTTGCAATATCAAGTTTGTTAGATATAGACTCCTCAACATAACTTTCTGCTATAGGGGAGCTTCTCCATCCACCATGCCATTTTGATGGCTGTAAGATCAGCACCTTTATTGGCCAATAGAATTGTGGATTTGCGATGTTCAGGAATGAAGCAAATACTGAGGGTACCTTCGCCAATGTGTTGATTCCAACAGGCCGAGAANCTATTGGCTTCCTCTCTTAAAGTGCGTGATTATTTACAGTGGCTTGAATATGACCGTCATTTTTTTTGGATTTCCTCTTTTAAAATGCTATAGAATGTAACTGCGGTATAATAATTATGTGGATGTACTTCATTTACGATCAAGAATGTCTGTTTTTAATTGTATTCCTTGTAAATGCCAAAGACTGTATTTATGCGAACCATAAATTTACTATTATCAGCTATTTTTTTTAGATAGATCTCCAGAAATCCGAGAAGAATCGTCCGTGTCATTATTAGATAGAATTTGCCTTTATGGTGATGATAAGGAGCTCTTCAGGTATGGAAACTACTTTTCTAGTGGCAGTGAATATCTAGTAATCGACTGGACAGGGACATATTCTCTTTATCATACACGTATACTGAATAATTATAACGATTGTTTAGGATTAGAATTAATTGGTAATGAAACTGTAGTGCTGCAATGTCCAGGAAAACGACCAGAACAACCTGGTTGCTTCGAGGTCTTCAATTCAATATCCGAGTCTCACGACACTGAAAAGGTTTGTAAACAAAAATATTGGGAAATGAATTATTATGCGCTGTTATTCATTTCGATGTATTCGCTGTTAAAGTAAATTATGTTAAATTATAGAATATGTATTTTCGATCATTTTATATACTGGTTACCAAATTTTTTGAAGGTGATGTTTACAGCAGGCAATTATCTGCAATCAGCCTTAGAATGCCAGAGAAAACATTATGTACATAGAAGCCTTGTATTTTTATTAAATCCTAAATCTTAAACTTCTTGTTTCTTCTCTCTTTACTTCAATATGTAGCGAATTTAGAAGAAATTAACAAGAATTTTTTCAATAGAACCTTCAAATAATTAAAATTTTCAGTGGCTTTNATGAATTATTATGCGCTGTTATTCATTTCGATGTATTCGCTGTTAAAGTAAATTATGTTAAATTATAGAATATGTATTTTCGATCATTTTATATACTGGTTACCAAATTTTTTGAAGGTGATGTTTACAGCAGGCAATTATCTGCAGTCGGCCTTAGAATGCCAGAGAAAAACATTACGTATGTACATAGAAGACAAGTATTTTTTAATCTCAAATCTTAAACTTCTTGTTTCTTCTCTCTTTACTCCAATATGCAGCGAATTTAGAAGAAATTAACAAGATTTTTTTCTATAGAACCTTCAGATAATTAAAATATTCTGTGGCTTTTTTTGGACTGTGTTTATGACTACTGTTCTCTAAATTCCAAGGACTGTTTCTCTCGGTTATTTAGCAGTGTTATAAAATCTATTGGTCTCAGAGATCCTTTACTTTCTCCTGATCGATTTTGTCAGAATGGAAAAAATAGGAAGTTATGATTAGTTTCCAGCCTTTGGGTAGGTGTCCCTAATAATTTTGTAAGCCTGTAAATGAAAAGGTCTGGTTTCTTATGAAATATTATTGATCGCCGTAAATTATCTAACTGGACTGATATATGCAAAATACACATTGCTCAGACTGCTAAGAAGAGCTCTTTTGATAGATTTCTCCAAATTTTTATTGTACATCATCATCTGTTCATTTAGTTTCTTCAAGCAAGGTCATCTGTCACGTATTTCCACTGTAAATTTTTTTTAAAATTGTTGAACTTAACTACAGGCGTACGTTGTAATAAGTATTGATCATTTTACAGGGAGGAAAGATTTGTATGGATGAGGATGGTCAAAAACTCATTACTCCTAATAATTCGACTATAGACTTTTTTCGCTGTGAATGTGCAATTGTCGTCAGTGCACCTGATGTTACACCACGAAGACTATAAAATCTGAAAAGATTGTAAAAGTTTAAATTGATTGTAAAGACAGACTAACAGTAATGCTATCTATTGAAAAATCCATGATGCGACAAATATCAAACTTTAATGGGAAATTGAAAAGTTTATTTGGGACAAAAGCAGAAGAATGGACTTTCACTTTTATAGTGATGTTGAATTGTCATTTTCCCTATATTTCAATAGTACTTAAAATAAAACTGCCCAATTATAGGTAAATATATATTTTTTTCAATACCTTGCACCTAAATTTTTCCGTTCTCTCTGGTACGGAAGTCAAACGCCGCCACTGGTTACACCCATTTTTAACTAATTTTAATTTCAAAAATTTATTTTAACAAAAAAATCAATATTTCCACTGATTTTATGATGGCCCCATCGTCTTTAGCGGATCAAAATACATGGGTCTATCATACTCTGTTATCACATACATATATTCCAAGATTATTAAAGAGAAAGGAATTATAGGATCACATGCACAAATAGTCAGACAGTTCTGATGTATATTCGTTGGAATAATATTATGACAAGCACTTGTCACTGGTGTAGTTCTGGTTGGTTTGTGGCTTCACACTGTACATTGTACAAATGTTAAGTAAGTCATGTTCTGCGTTGCTATCCATGTAAATGTTAAAGTCACTAACAATTACTATATCTTTATATCTACTTGCTATAAATTCAACATTAACTATTTTTGAATATATTTATGTCGCCAATAAATGAGTAAAATTGTTAAAATTCTCAATAATAAATAAACGTCTACTCAATAACTTCACTCTATGCTTTTGATGCGTTTAGTCATATCAATTATTTACAATGTACCCAGTTTAAATCATATATAATAATATAAATAAATAAAAATCAACATGCACTTTTATGTTATTTTTATTCTGAAAATGTTGATAAAATACTATCTTTTTTGGTTGTCGCTATATAACCTGTCTTCTGCTGTTTATTTCATTCCTCAAAACATTCTTTTGTCTCATGCAAAGTTGACATTGAAGGTATCCGTCATGCAGACCAGTTTGTGCTTAATTATGTAATAGCAGCAGTTGTTGTTTAGTCCTCTTTCTTTATGGTTGTTTGATGAAGAGATTACCTTGTTGGTGCCCTTATGCTGGTTGCTGACACATCGTCTACTACTCCCAGTATAAGAAATTTAAGCAACCTTTGTTAACTAATTAGTCAGTTTTTTTGTTGCCCGTACACCCATATCAGAATAAACATTTCTATACAAGTTTGGACATGATTTCGGATTTGCAATGCGTTCAAGAACGCATAACGATCAGTGAGAATATTAACCCGCTTATTCCTACGGGTTGTCCCATTATTTTCAAGCATATAACATACAAAAAGAGAAACAACTTTTTTTAATAATTGAATTTTTAAATTGTACGGGCCGTTTTCTTACATAATATGTTTCCGAGTCTATTTGGAAGTATGTAGGATCCTGGAAAAGTTCATTCTGACACCTCCAACTATAAAGTGAATGTGGTCCTTATTGCTCCTGTTATTCCACCATTACTATGATGGGATAAGATACAACAGCGGATCTTTACTGGAACTAGGCAAGGTACAAAGACCTAGTTGTTTGGTAGTAACAGTAGCAATAAGAACCAAACCCATGACGGCCATCAACTTCCGTAGTGGTTTACTTTGTAGTTCTGGTGGTTCCAATCCTTCAAGCACTCTTGTTATGGCAAATTCCTGTTATAGACACTGTATGACGAGGTTTTATTCTTTGTCGACCGTAAATATAATATGGAGTGGATTAATCATCCTTAACTACTTAACTTATTTAACTTAATCACAAAAGTGCTATAAATAGTTTAATAGTATTGTTTATTTTACAGGTGGAAAAGATTTGTTTGGGTAAGAATGGTGATGAAGTCATTACGCCCAATAATTCAACTATATACTTATTTCATTGTATTATGTATGCTCTGGTCAGTGCACCTGATGTTAAACCACGAAGATTGTAAAACCGTAAAATATATTATTACATCCCTTTGATGTTATCATCGTTTTATTATTTATGTATTATTGTATAATGTAAATTCTTACGAAAACTAACCACCTCAAATAACTTATTGGATGAATATAATAAAAAACATTGAAACACGTTGATTTTTATTTCGAATAGTTTCATAAAATAAAAAATCCGATTAGTGAATGTGTTGCTGATTTTATCATAATGGACTGTACCTGTTTCTTTGCTGGTTCCTAAAAAACATTTAACTTAAAAATACTAAAATTATTAGTTTGAGGAATTGATTATAATCACCATAGGCAATAGTGCTAACGTGTTATGTTATAAATTATAAAGTTTCGGAACCACTTCACCACATTTTGAAATTTTTTGGAAGGAACTACTCTGTAGTTCGAGACATGTCGACTTCAATATGATGTAACAGGAAAATCTATTATTTTATTTAAATCACACTGAAACAAAATATTGTTATAATGGCTTTAACTAGTATAGTTAAATTGAAAGACGCAGTCTGATAAAACTGTAATTATTGGAAAACTAATATGTGTCATCTGTCATACATGTTTTATTTTAAACAAATAACATCAGCCACCTATGACTGAAATTTGTAATAATATTTGATAAAATACGGTTCGTCTCTGGCCCTTATAAGATTTATAAGAGATAACGAATTTTCTTTGAATTTTCCAATACTTTTATTTATTTATTTATTTATTTATTTAGACAATACACTACCCTACAGAAATTCCAATTACAGGGTAGGTACAAGCAGAAAACTACATCATCATGATATGAGATAAGTAACAATACAAAACATTACATACCTAAATAATTAGACAAAACATTATATAAATGAAAAAACAAATATAATTTAATTTGTAAATGCAACTTTTTTAATTATGGCTATATTACAATTAAAAATATCAAACTGATTTTGAAACAGATTATATTTATCACACATTTGAAAAAGAGGAGAGTATTTTTGAATATTAATTCTTGACATAGGTAAATAAAACAATGAAGAAAAACGAGATGATAATCTAGGTATATGAAAATTTAACAATGAAAGTAAAGAAGGACAGTCAATTGCATTATGTAATAACTTATATAAAAATATCAATTGCGCAATCGTTCTACGTTCCTCTAAACTGCGAAATGAAAATCTATTTAAAAGGTCACATTGAGGGATACCAATAGGTGGATAATTGCCATCCTCTCTAAAAACTGCAGCCTTTAAGAAACGTCACTGAACTCTTTCTATCTTAGTTATGTAAATATTATAGTAGGGTGACCACACAATGCAAAAATACTCCAATTTAGATCTAACAAAAGCTGAATATAATAATTTTAAAGTAGAGAAATCATTAAAATCCTTAGAGCAGCGTAGTACAAAACCTAGCATTTTAAAGCTTTCGTTCGTAATCATATTACTCGTAATATGGTACGAAAAAGACAATTTACTAACAAATTGTACACCTAAATCACGGATAGTATGTGGCCTGGTAAGAATAGTATTATCAATACAATAATCAAATACAATCGGTTGCTGTTTGAGAGAGATGGTTATGACATAACACTTTTTAATACTAAACTGTAAGTTATTATTAACATTGCACCATAAAACAATTTTATTTAAAGCAGATTGTAAATTTAAACAGTAATTACCACTACTTATACTAGTATAGAGCTTCATGTCATTAGCATATAATAAACACTTAACATCAGTTCCAACCACAATATCATTAATAAACATATGAAAGAAAAGAGGACCAAGAACCGATCCTTGCGGTACACCAGAAGTAGCTACAAATTCTTTCGACAACCGACCATGAATATTCAACAAATGCTTGCCGATTTAATAAGAAAAAAAGAAGTGTAGTAAGTCCTTTGAGAAACCGAAACTATTTAATTTAGTCAATAAAACACCATGCGGTCAAGCCGATCAAAAGCCTTTGTGAAATCGGTGTATATTACATCTACTTGCGAATTCGAATCAAAAACACCCGAGATATATTGAATTATATGGTTGGAGGTGGTGGATCTGTCCTTAAAAAAACATGTTGATATTCATTTATTCGATTCTTTGCAAATAAAAAAATAAAATCGTAAAGAAGAAACTCATAAGCTTTAGAAAAATTATTGATAATTAATTGTTATAGGTCTATAATTTTCAACTTTATTTCTTTGACCTTGTTTATAAACAGGAATTACTTCTACTTCTGTGAACTGATTCAGTTGAAACAATGCAGTGCCTGTATCCGTTAATGAGTCAACAGAAACAAAATTGGACTTAATAAAAGTATTACTGAAGTACTGAGCAAACATCTCAACCACTTCACCAACACTTTCATAAGAATTATCTTGGTAGTACATTGTACTTGGCCAGCTGTTGTTATTCTTTTTCATCTACATTGCCAGAATTTATTGGGATTGATTTTTTCTATTCTCAATGTTACGACAATAATTCAGATATTCACATTTAATTTCATTTTTTATATAAATTCGTAAAAATTCAAATTCCTGGCAAGCTACTGGATCATCAAATCTTCTATAATCACGCAAATCTTTATGCTTTAATTTAATACTTTTAATAATATTCTTAGTAAACCAAGGTGGATAGTTTCGTTTCCTTCAATTTCACCATTTGGAACCCATTGCAAGTCATTCAAATTTTAAGGGGACATTCTCTGATAATTCAGGAGATAGCATCCGAAGCGAAAATGTGCTGCATAGTGTAGTTTGCGAGATACCTAATTTTCATTGAAATTTCTAATAGTTTTGCTTTAATTTCACCCCATGGAACTCATTCCAAGTCATTCAAATTTTAAGGCATATTCCCTGATAACTCTAGAGGTAGCATCCGGAACGAAAAAGTGCTCCAGAGTGTAGTTTGGAAGATAGTGAATTTTTCTTTGAAAGGACCCAGCACAAATCTTATGGAAATTGGGTCCCGGTCAAATTCGCTGAATTTTTGATATGTGATAGAGTTCATCATACTGGTCAATTGTCTCAATGGCCACAAAGCTCAAAAATGGATAGTTTGGCCGGTACAGAGCTTTAAAGCTCCGAATATCCTCCACGGATTTATGTATATGCGCAGTGTGTATAGACTTTTGAAATAGCCTATTTCATTTTTTTTATTATCTAGGTTTATATTTTTGAGGTTGCTGAATTCAGATCTGTTGTTAGATTTTCAAAATTGACAGTTGGCAGCTGTCAAATAGCTGTCAATGTGCTATAATAAAGCCAAAAACTTGTTTTTT